CAGAAAAGAAAATGCAGAAAACAGAAAAAATTGTTTCTGTTTTTCTCAATACAGAAAAATGCAGGTGCTCAAGGTAGGGAGCCTGGGACAGAGAAGGGACTAACTCTTCAGCCACAGGTGACCTCACGGATGGGCCAAGAGTATGACCAAGGCAGCAACAATGCCTAATACAGCGGTTATTGATGGAAATTTAAAAAGTTATCAGTGAGCTGTGCTTCCTGCCATGTGGAAGAGTCTGGTCTAGAGCAAAAGAGCGGGAAGCAGACTGGCAGAGAAAGAGGAGAGAGTGTTGCAGTAATGGGCATATTAGCTCCAGACGCTCTTGAGGCCCAGGCCCTGGCTTTGTCCATTCCACCTTTTCTAGGATTCAGGGAGCAATTGAAGTCACCTTTACTGCTCAACACAGCTGAATTGAACATGAGTTCTCTCATGTTGTTCTTTGAATATGGTGAATGATAAACATTAGCACTGCCTTTTACTTTATAGACAGCCAATGCAAATACGGTTTTCCTTTTTCTTCTCTGTTTGGTGCAAGACACTTAAATGTCTCTTTTGAAAAGCAAAAGAGCTTTGTGCAGTGGCAGTATCGTAGCCAATGAGGTTTATCCAAGGTGCGATTATTGCTAATTGAAAAGCACAAGAAATCTGACTATTAAACTTACTAAGATAGTATCATCTACATCCCTGTGATGAGATAGCAATACTTTGACCTTAAATCCCCACCATATAAATGTAACCAAAATAGAGTAACAATTGTGAAAACTTCAGCTGGGACCTCTGTATTTCCTTTTAATTTGAGGCCATTTTTAAACTTCCTCAAATATTTTCTTTCTTGATCTACTGTTGCATATATCTTTGTACAACCAAAACTCATCAGACTTCATAAAACATTCTCCATCTATCCTGAGGGTAATCTTGTGAAAAAAAAATTCAATGATTTCAATCTCTAGAATGGACTTTACAATTTTTGAAAAAAAATCTGTTTCCTAAGTAACTAAAAGGAAATCGAAATATAGTTTAGCTTACAAAAACAACTCACACATTTTATTTTGTGAGGTAGGAAACAAAAACATATTTATTTCCTGATCCTGAGAACACAGCAGTGTTTTGAGACAAAACAAAGATGGATGATTTTAATGTGCAGTGAAGTTGAAAAAAAAAATAAGAAAGAAAAAAAACAGCAAGATATATGCCATATGCACACATACACACACACTGTAAAGACAACCCAATAAAAAACATTCCTCAGAACACATTTCTCATGAGATTCTGGAATGTATGTTGTAAAAGCATATATGGAGTATGTACAAGTTAAGACACAGACAAGTCAATGGCACAACAATGCAGATCATGGAATGATCACCATCACCATTTTCCCCACACCCATCCTGGCCACTTACCTAGGAAGAGTCTATTGTCCAGGCTGTTCTAGCCTTCCTAGAGTAACATTTCAAATCACTACATGGATGTATATAAGATATACCCTAAAAGTCATGCTTACAGATATTAAGAGCTCAAACAAGGAGCTCTTTTTCATGATATTTTCACAAACTGGTCATCCTCTTTCTTAATTTGTATCTTATCTATCTTATTATCTATCTTATCTGTCTTATTATGGCTGTGTTTATTGAGAATTGGTTTGATTTTGAAAATATGAAATTGTCTAGATTGCCCATATCAAAGCAATTATATGAGCAATTTTTTAAAAAGGCAACTCAAAAGCACAATGTTTACCTGAATTATCTGGATAGCTCTCAACTTTATAATTCATTCTGTCAGCATGATTTTCATTTCTCTTCTTTATTTTCCATCCCCTGATGCAGGACACCGAGATGTCTCTTTTGGAAAATAGAATAGCACAGAGTTAAACATGGGAGCTCTGGAATCATAATTAGTTGCTTAAACTCTATATGCCTCAGTTTCCGTATTTATAAAACTGGGGTATTAATGGTATCTGATTCATAAACCTGTATTAAGGATCAAGTGAGGTAAATACAGTAAAGCACTTAGAAAGTAATTGAAAGCAGAGATATTCATATACTATTATCATAGTAGCCTTATGGTCAATAGCCAAAAGGTAGAAGCAATTTAAGTGGCCATCAATGGAGGAATGAATAAAGTATACATAGATGTAGATATAGATACCATAAAATACTATGCAGTCTTAAAAAGGAAAGAAATTCTTTTTATTTTTTTAAGAGAGAGAGCATGCGGTAAAGGCAAGGAGGGGCAAAGGGAGAAGGAAGAGAGAATCTTAAGCAGGCTCAACGCCCAGCAGGGTCCTGCACGGGACTCCATCTCACAACACTGAGATCATGACCTGAGCTGAAATCAAGAGTCATACGTGTAACCCACTGAGCCACACAGGCATCCCAAAAAGGAAGGAAATTCTGACACATGCTAAAACATGCACGAACCTTGAGAACATTCTGCTGAGTGAAATAAGCCAGTCACAAAAAGATAAATACTGCCTCATTTCACTTACATGAGGTATCAAGGGTAGTCACACTCATAGAAACAAAGTAGAGTGATGGTTGCCAAGGACAGGGGAAGGGAGGAATGGGGAGCTGTTTATTGGGTATAGTTTCAGTTTTTAAGATGAAAAATTCTGGAGATCGATTGCACAACAATGTGCACCTACTAAACATTATTGCATTGTACACTTAAAAATACCTAAGATGGTACTCAAAAAACAAACTGAGTGTTGTGGGGGGGGGGGGGGTTGGGTTATGGATATTGGGGAGGGCGTGTGCTATATGGTGAGTGCTCTGAGGTGTGTAAGCCTGATGATTTACAGACCTGTACCCCTGGGGCTAATAATACATTATATGTTAATTAAAAAAAATCTGAGATGGTAAGTTTTGTTACATGTATTTTACCACAATTTAAAAAAATGAAAAAAAAAAAAACAGAAAAGGAATTTTTCTTAAGAAGATTTTATTTTACCTTTAAAAAATAACACTTAGAAAGTACATGGCACAGAGAGCTTCAATTAAATTTTCCCTTCTCTCTCAAATTTTCTAATTCAAGATGAGGCTTTTTTGCATATTCTGTAATCGTGTGTAGATATTTAATAAACATCAGAGGATCCTCTGGGTTCAAATGGAAGCAAGCGATTGATATTTTGTAGGGTTGTTCAGGGGGCCCTGGGTGGGGATAAGCCCTGTGAGGAAGGAAGTGCCTGGAATCAGATATCTAAGCAAGGATCAGAAGCACAAGTGGTGCACTCTCCGTGGGGTAACATGAAAAAAGCTGGCAGCCAACCAGTTAGCTGTTTATGTAAATGAAGGAGAGCTACTACATACAGATTCTGGTTCCTGATCCAGCAGTGGTTCACTATAAACTCTCTCCAGGCCATAAAAGGAGACTAAGAGGTGGGCAATTCAAGCACAAGAAGAATAAATAATATCCCTCAGACCCATGGCATTCAAAGCTCCTGTCAACTGCTTTGACGGG